ACAGCAACCCGGCCCCTGGCTCAAAAAGGTTGCCTACCCCTGGTATGGACACACTGATTGGAAGCCTCTGTGCATGATGTTGATATGTGACAATGTTGGTTACATTGCTAACTACCCAATAGGATGCTAGCCAATGTCTTCCTCTCTTATTCTACTCATTTTGGGGGTAAAAATCCTACCTGTTGAAGTGATCTGGTAATTTCAGAACCTTGCACATTTTTGGAACTTTTGAGTTGGCATAATAAAATTACTACACAGACTAGGATTTTGGAGTTTTTCTGATGACCAATATTACTACTTTTTAAAGCAAGTCCAATTAAACAAATAACACATTCAAACAAATATTGATCAATACTTATATTTGAATTAATCAGTGTGAGTTTTCCATTTTGATTTTAATTTTGAAACATATTTTGCCTTGGCAAATGCCTTAACTTTTCTTTTATTTCCTTTAAAAAATAAACTTATATTAAAGAATTTTCATCTTCTAGCTCTCAACATATTATTCCATTTGACAAAACAGTGTTTTAAGTCCTCAGTCATTAAACTATAGATTATTCTCCAGTGGTTTTGATGAGTTTCTTCTGGAATATTTACCTGACTGATCAGAAGCTGTGGCTGTGTTAGTAGTGGCTACCCAAAGTTCATTATGTGCTTACTTGGTTCTTCCCACAAGATACATTGCTTCAAAGCACCCCATTCAAGCATATGGGCTGTAGATGAACAGTTGGGCAATGTGACCTCTGAAAAACCTAGTAAAACACACTACAGTAGAAGGTGAATCAAGACAAGCTGCCAGACGATCAGAACCATCTGTATGCAAACAACCTGCATGATGAGAACAGATCAGACCAAGTAGAAAATGCTGGGGAGGACAGGAATGAAGAGGCACAACAGCAGGTGGATTGTCAGCCAATAAACTCAACTAAAGAAATAGACATTGTGGAAGAAAAGCCCCTTGGGAGTGGGAAAGAAAGGTCCAGTGACTAACATGCATCTCATGAAGCTAATGCACAAGATGGCTATCATGAAAACTTTTGCTTTCCAAGAACTAGCAATGTAGAGCACCTGATTCTTGTTTGCATTCCTGTCGATGTTTGCAGTGCCACATAGAAATTGCCCTGACTATATTTTTCAACAATTGGCCAAGATCCAACATGGTTGATTTGATAGTGTAAGAGTTCCACATGCCCTAGGACATGACACCATCCCAAGGACTCATTGTTGTACTGCAGTAGCCTCCCCCCCCAAAAAAGCTATCCTGTTGTTGGTGGAGGGTGGGTTGGGAAATCGGAGAAGCATCTGGCTATGTCCCCATATCCAAATTCAAGCAGAATGCATTTTCTACCGAGATCTGCTGGGGAGGTTAGTGGAGGATGTCATTGTCCTGCATCAGCCTATAGGAACATAACCAGATGTTCCTATCTGTAGAAGGATCTGGCTATGGAAACAATCCCTTCCACTAGCAATGGAATGGCCATGTGCATGTATGTGTGTGTGAGAGAGAGCTATCACATTACAACAATGTGTTCTGGGAGGTCTTTGGATGTTGTGTAGGGAGTAAGAGAAAACCAAACTCTGCAATGCCAAAAAATACATATTAAAAGTGTAATGTAGACTTATGCTTGTGCATGTTACCAACAGGACATTGGCCATTATGTGACAGTCATCAAGTGGAGCAATGTAAAGCATTCTCAATCTTTGGTCTTCCAGATGTTTTGGCTTTCATCTCCCAGAATTCCTGAGCATTGACCAAACTAGCCAGGATTTCTGAGGTTGAAATCCAAAGTACATGGGAAGTCAAAATGTGAGAGACAATCATGTAAAACACATCTACATCATAGCTGTAATATGTTTACCAGCCAAAGAGACCACTTAATTAATTAAGTTCAGAAGGCAATTCCATAACAACTCCGTCAACAAATGCTTTTGATTTAATATGTTGGGTTATGGGCTTCCCATATACACTCAAGCTGCAAAATGCTGGGGAAACATGGTGAAACCCTTAACATATATTTTTAGTCAATATGGGTATGGTATGAAAGCCAGCATGGCATAGTGGTTTGAGTGTTGGACTGTGACTCTGGAAACTAAGGTTCAATTTCTCACTCAGCCCTGAAACCCACTGGGTGACCTTGGGCAAGTCACATACTCTCAGGGAAAGGCAACAGTAAGTGTCTTTTGAACAAGTCTTGGCAAGAAAACCCCAAGACAGGTTTGCCTTAGGGTCACCATAAGTCGGAAATGAATTGAAAGTACACAACAACTGCAACAATGGTGTCCTATGCTGTGGTTAATTCCAGTTTTACTATTATCTTTGAGCTGGATGGCTGCCATTAGAATGATAGACTTATGTCACATATTTATCATACTGATGTATTCACTGGGACACATGCATGGAATCTGTGCAAATGAAACTATCAGGGAACTGAAGCTACTATTCCACATTACAAATGTCTAATTGGCAAAAATTATATTCCAAACAGATAGACAAAGTTTGGACAATTTTGTGTGTAGTCATTCTCTCTATTTCTGATTCATGGAAATGTAGCCAAAATTGTACCACACAGTTGTTGTTGTTGTTGTTGTTGTTGTTGTTATTATTATTATTATTATTATTATTATTATTATTATTATTATTATTATTATTATTATCCCACCTTTTCCCCATATTGGTACTCAAAGTGCTTGCAATGATAAAAAGATTGTTAAAAATTCACCAAATACAAACACAAACAATCAGAAAAAAATTAAACCAGGTTAAAACATATATTAAAACACACTCACACACCCATACAGCAATTTAGCAATATCCAGGGCATTGTATAAGATGGGCCTTATATCATCACTCATCAAATGCCTGTAAGAATAGAAAAGTCTTTGTTTATCTTTGAAAGGAAAGTAGGGAGGATGCCAGTCTAACTTCTCTGGGAAGGAAATTTCTGAGCCTGGGGGCTCTTGAAGTAGGCACCAGCAAATTCAAAGAATCTCATGGTGTTTAGGAACATAAATAATCTTAACAAATAATTCCTCCCCCTTCCAGTTCCAGCAGCCCAATGCAGACTTAATGGCACAGAATGCCATTTTGTGGAGGAAGGAGGGAGAGAAATATATACAATTTTAAAAGGCCAGAAGAAACCATTTGTTGTCTGGATAGTCATTTTCTGGTCCCTATCAAGGAAATGTTTTAAAAATATATTCTAAGGAAAGATATGAATCTTGCCACATAAATCAATAGGAAAATCCTAAATTTTATTGCAGGTGGGATTGGGAACAGCTGCAATCCCCTGAATGCAAATTCCCTCCCCATATCAAAATGGAGTGGGACAAAACTCCAATAGGCCAGTGAGTTGCATGAACTGATTATTGCTGGTGAGTGGAGGAAGGAACACTATGTGTGTGTGTGTGTATAATAATATCCAAAATCCACAAAGCAGCAATATCTTTATTCAGTCTACCAAAACACACAAATACATGGTGTGTGTGTGGGTACGCACACGCATGTGCTTGTGTTAGAGATTGAGAGATAGAGAGAGAATGAAATGGAAAGGAACACTGAGAACTCCATACCAGGAAGTATGACTGGTTCATAGTGGGGAATCCTTTGGAAGATGTTAGCTATTCCTCAGAGCTTAGAAAAGCTACTTTTTTGACTTTCAGAATTAACTTGGTAGCTCAAAGGTAACTTTTCCCCTCTGCTTCTTCAGCAGGAGTTATGCATTTTCAGTGTAAGCATAGCCCAAAGCATACGTGTGTTACAGCATGCAGAAGAAGAGAATTAATAATTTGAACAACACAAACTTTTCCTCCAGTATGCAACAGCTCAGTGGTAGACCTCAGATGCTGAAGGTGTGAAACCCTCATAGTCCCAAAATATCCTCTAAGGCTGAGTACCAGAATTTCTGGTTAGAGATACATACAAGGCATTTTCTGGAAGACAGCCTAAGTTTAGACTGATATTTGTGTTAACCTCAGTACAATACAGCTTTTAAAAATCCATTAGATCAGTGGCTTTCAGACTATATTCTGAGGACCCTTGGGGTTGATCAAGAGTTCTTCCATGAGAATGCCATTAATGGCAGACCCACCTCTTGAAAATAGCAATTTCAGCCCATCAATCTTCTCTTCTTTTGCAATGTGCATCCCCAAGGGTGCTGTGTACATATTCTCAGTTCATACAAGGTAGTGATGCAGTCCAATGGCCTTGGCTAGAGCTCTCTGGAAACTGGCTGTATGCCTAAGAACATGGTCTAGAATTTTCTGCATTACACAGAGAATTCTCACTAGATATACCCCCAGTGGAATAGATTACTTGAAGGCAGTAATACTGAAAAGCAATTCACTTGGGAGATTATCCCACCACTGAAATATCCTGGCTTACCTCTTCTGAATTGAAGCCTAATTCGGGAGGCAGCTGGGTCCTATCACAAGGATTTTGTGATAGGAGTCTAGCCTGGCTGCAGCCTGGGTCCCTGGTGTGCTTTGGTGGCCATTTCTTGAAGTC